GAGGTGTGTCCTATTTTCCTGTGGATTTATATTATTTCCTCTCTTGCTTTGGAGTCATTAGGTCATTTGGTGAAGAAGCTATAGCCCGACAATCAAATACAAAGATTTGTATTTATTTTGTCCAGGTTAGGAAAAACATCTGGTACATCCTTTTAATCGATAGAATCAAAGTAAAATAGCTATGCCTTGCTCTCCCAGTGTTGTGATACAATGCTGCATTGATTTGGAATCTTTAAGTCACATGAGAAAAAAGTGTAAGAATATCAGCCATAAATACTTTTGATAATACTAATTTGAAACACAATTCCAGCCTGAAAAGCTAACTGTAAAATAACACAATAAATCCTACCATAGAAACCCTGTGGTAGGAGGGTAGGTGGTACTACACTGCAGGAAGAAGCATCGAGGCAGAAAAATACAAACACCCACTCACACTGACGGATGACTCATTCACAAATTACAGTAAGGCAATCTTTGCATACACACTTTACACACTTCCTAACAGCACAATAACAAAGCCACTGGTGAAAACAGATTTCTGACAATGGTGAAGAATGCTGGAAAAAAGGAGCTGTCACTTTCCATTCAAATCTGTATATTTGCCAAAAGAAACCAAGGCATAATGATATTCTTATCTCTAGTATTCCCTCGTTTAAATCCCTTTTAAAGCGGTTTGAGATACCAGTAACCTTTGTCGGTGTTGTATCACCTGTGCCACTGGTCACCATTTCGCCCATTGATCTGCAGCATCGAGGATTTCCAGACGTGGCGTCTAATCCCTCCTCAGTACCACATTATGGCAATCTAACCTCATCAAGATGAGTGGTCAAGGGCACATTGGAGGGGACATGTGAGATAGCACCATATGCTTTATGTATTAGTATGCTAGTCAGGGCAAACAGCCGATAGACTCCTCACAAAAACGTGTGGATAAAAATCTCCAGCAAGATGATCATTGATGTTTAAATTGAAAGATCGCTGATAATGTTTCAATAATTACATTATGTTATGATGTGGAAAATCCTTTGACATATTGCCGCATTGTCCCAAAACCTAATTTCACCGTTTGAAAAACAGCCGTTTCCTGTTGGAGCGTGCGGCGCAGGTTGACTGATGCCTCCGTACATACCAGGATACTTGATTAGAGGCAGATTTATGGCCAGTAGTAACAATCTCCTGCAGGTACATTTATGGCCGACATAATGACGGCACACTCAGCTGAGCCCACAGTAAATCCAGGACATGGTCTTCCTCTGTCCTTGAGAATTCTGCTCTCTCCAAAAGCAGGTGTACCCTAATATGTTTAAAGTTGCAGTGTTCAATAACTGGGCCTGATGGATCCTTACTGTAATGTTTAAAGTCCTTCCTGTACGGGAGAATACCCTGCTATGGACTTTCAAATGAATGTAGTTTTCGAGAAGACACACGAGGATTACAGGATAAAATTAATCAGTATTTTCTTTTATCATCTTCTCCCCCATATGATTTACTGGATAATTTCCAGCCTGTCCTTCTACAAATAATTACCATATAGGCTGATTGTTCATGCCCTTATTACGACCCAGAGAAACAAATAGTTTTTTCGGAGTTAAGACACTACAGTTTCCGAAGACACTATACTACCCAGAATTCCCAGCTGTCTTTTGGGACTACAACATCCGCCTCGCTTTACAAACCCCGTTATTAGTCATCAAGCCCTGTGATTGGATGTTGGAGTAGCAGTGCGACAAAGTTAGGCTGAGCGTCACAGCTCTATGAAATGGAATGGAACCACGGCAGACTTTCCAGGGTCAGGTCAAGCAAGTCAAGTCAAGTCATACGAAATTCTGATGAATAAGCCCAGTTTCCGCATTTCCGCATTAGTTAAAAGACAGTGGTTATGAAAATGGATTCAGCCATGTGCCATCCGACCTCTGCAGCTCATCCAGAATGCAGCGGCTCGTCGGGTGTTCAACCTTCCTAAATTCTCCCACACCACTCCGCTCCTCCGCTCCCTTCACTGGCTTCCGGTAACTGCTAGAATCCACTTCAAGACAATGGTACTTGCTTACCATGCTGCAAATGGATCTGGCCATTCCTACATCCAGGACATGGTTAAACTGTACACCCCAGAAACCTGATGTTCTGATTCTGTTTTCTTCAAGTTTGTATCTTGTTGGTCGAACGCACTTATTGTAAGTCGCTTTGGATAAAAGCATCAGCTAAATGCAATGTAATGTAATGTAATCCACACTATGATCTTCATTACATACACAGTTAATCATTTGAAATCTAATTTAGACCGATGACAATCATATTAGATTCATATTAACCCTAGAACAGCAGACAATATAGCTAGGACTCAATCAAAAAGTCTGTTCAAAAAGGCAGAATTCCAAGTAAGAAAATCATATAGCCTATGGCATTTGCCATTACACATATATAATTTACATTTCTGTTAACACTAGAACCGCCAACAGCGTCAGCACCTACAT